AGGCACCAGCTAACTCCTTTGGGTGGCTGGTGCAGAGACTGAAACTAAAGGTGGACAGGCACCACCTGAGTGCTGAGTGGACGAGCCAGGCTGGAGTGCAGACTCTGGGTCCGCAAGAGGGCCCTGGGGGCCGTGAAGATGGCTCAATGGGCTGAGCTCATGTTTCGCACATGGGACATTGGGGTGCCACTCCTGTCACTGTGTGACCCCCACCTGCTTCTGGGAGAAACCTCTGAACACTACCTGGTGTGGCCCATCCCCTCTTCCCCCCAAGATGACAGCCCTCACCATCAGTCATCTGCTGTGACTCTCTGTCCCTCAGTAACAGGGCTAGTTTTTGTCCCAGCTTCTGCTTCCTTGCCAAGACCCTCTGCTGTCCCCAAAGGGTTCCAAGGGCAACTCAAGAACATAGACGGTAAATGCAGAGCCCTGGGAATAGGGGTCCAAAGGCAGCTTTTCTCCAGGTCCTGCAGGCGGCTACTCTAGCCAGATGTGTCTTTGTGGCCACCGCTTCACTCTCTGCAGACAGGGGGTGAGTGTATTGGCGCAGGGGGAGGAGCTCTTGCCCGCCCCCCAGTCTGGGGACGCTCATAACACGGTGATTCATCTCAGCTCTCCACTCCCCATCCCTGTCCGAGCTGGTCCCCAGTTCCTGAGGCCTTGAGGCAGGCTTGGAGCCAGACTGAAGACCGAGCAAGGCACGTGCAAGGAGGGGAGCTTGGGCATGGTGGCCCGACAGTGCCCCCGCACCCCTGCAATGGCTCCCCAAGCGTCTGCCCTCCTCATATTCCTTTCCCACTGTGCTAGAATCTCAGCACCCCACTCAGGGAGGCCCCAGCAGGTGCCAGCTCCAAGCATCAGTGCTTTGAAAGGGGTAAAGCAAACCCACAACAGGGGTAGTTTTACAAATGGTCACAGGCATGGTCCTCTCGTTGTTCGATTTCCTCGAGCAGGCCCAGTAACGTCTCCATTGTGAGACTTGTTGTTACTGTGTTTGGCATATTGAATACGTCACGGGTAGCTTGCCAGGCTTTGCTGTGTGGGCAAGATACTCTTGGTAGCTTGCCGGGCTCTCCGAGAGGGGCAGAGGAATCAAACCCGGCTTGACCGGCTGGCTGTGTGCAAGGCAAATGCCCTACTACTGTGCTATCACTCTAGCCCTTTGCAAATGGAAGGAAAGAAAAATTACTTATCCTTCTACCTTGAAAATGTCTGAAGGGGGAGCTGGAGCGATAGCATAGTGGGTAGGGTGTTTGCCTTGCACACAGCCGACCCAGGTTCGATTCCCAGCATCCCATATGGTCCCCTGGGTACCTCCAGGAGTAATTCCTGAGTGTAGAGCCAGGAGTAACCCCTGAGCATCGCCGGGTGTGACCCAAAAAGCAAAAAAAAAAAAAAAAGTCTGAAGGGACCCGGAGCGACGATGTATGGAAGTGGTAGGGAGCTTGCCTTGCACCCAGCACTGCCAGGAGTGACCCCTGAGTGCAGAGCCAGGAGTCAGCCCTGAGCACAGCCAGGTGTGCCCCCCACCCCAATCCCCACCCCCACCCTTACCCCACCGCAAAAGAAAAAAAATGTTCAAAGGTCTGGGCATAGAGATAGTTTAACAAGCCCAGAGCATACTTTGCATGCAGGTGTATTAGGTTTCATCCCCCCAAACTGCCTGGCCATCCCCCCCACCCCCAGCTCCTCCAGTGAGTGATGAACACCGCCAGGTGTTAGAGTGAAGTGAAATCCCAAGACAGACAACAGGCTTTCAGGAGCTTGCTTTGTAAGTCACTGGTCCTGGCTTGATCCCTGATGTCTCATAGTCCTTCAGGCACCACTGGGAATGACTTTCCAGCACAGACCCAGGAGTAGCATTGCTAGGTATGTCCCTCAGGAGGGGGGGAAAATAAATACAAAGTATGAAGATCTCCCCTTTAGTGGGTAGGGCATTTGCCTTGCACAAGGCTGACTTGGGTTTGATTCCCAGCACCCATCCCATATGGTCCCCTGAGTACCGCTAGGAGTAATTCTGAGTGCAGATCCAGGAGTACCCCTGTGCATTGCCGGGTGTGACCACCCCCCCCCCAAAAAAGCAAAACTAACTAAATTAATTAATTAAATAAAATAAACCAACTAGTTGGACCTCTGGCACCCTGACCCCTGTCAGGAGCGATTCCTGAGTGTAGAGGTAGGAGTAACCCCTGAGCATTGCTGGGTGCGACCCAAAAAAAAAAAGAAAGAAAAAAACCTTCTCAGCACCAACCCTGACCCACTCTGATGTGTGTGCATGTACACTGACGGACACAGGTACACACTGATGGACATGGGTGCCACTGCTCTGGAGAGGGCTCAGTCTGGGGGAAGCAGGGATCACGGCCCTGAAGGTAGCGTCCTTGATTTGGGGGCTGGGGACATTGGGACCCAATCCCTGCACCTTGGCAGGAACTGGATCCATCAGAGGGAATCCCAAAGATACTCTGCGGTGACCTGCAGCCTCAGAGCTCTACGGAGGTGCATGATGAGCACGGGTAAGTGTGTGTGTGAGTAAATGCCACTGACAATAGCTAGAATGCACAGAGACTATGTGAGAGCGTATGTGTGAGTGTCTCTGTGTGTGTGTGTGTGTGAGTCTGTGTACTTGGGAGAGTGAGTCTGTGCAAGAGTATGTGTGAGTGTGTGTGTGCATGTATGTGACCAGCCCCTCCTGTGCCAGCAAGCCTGGACTGTGTGAGCTGAGCAAGCATAGGACCTGCGGGTACGTGGCTGCTGGTTTCTGCTCTGCCCCGAGTCCTAGGCTGGGGCAGGCTCTGGTACAGGCAGGCCCAGGCTGAGGGGCTGGGGGCTGGGGTTTCCCATTTACTTTGAAGGTTTTGGGGACCCTTTCCCAGGCACCCAGTAAGGTGGAAGAAGGGGAGGCAGCATGTGGTGGCGGGTTCTTCCATCCCATAATCTGGGTTCTGGCACCAGGAGTCTGGAGTTCTGCTTTGAGTCACACTCCGTGATGGTTCCCTGATTCACCGTGGGGCCTCCCAGCCCGTGGGGGCCCAAGGGCGTGAGCCCCGGTGTGTGGGCTGCCTGCATGCGTGAGCCTGAAAGCTGCGAGCATATGAGCAGGGGGGACCGCCAGCATGGGGGGCGCACACACGCACTGCTCATGTGTGCAGTTTGCCAACCTGTGTGCCAAACCCCATCGCTGTGGGCATGAGTCACCCCGGAGCCCTCATTTCTGACAGTCGTTTCTCAAGGGAAAATCCCCAGGGCCCTTCACTCACCTGGACTTAATCTGTCCTGGAAAATGTGGCTTCTTCCATCTCCCCTGGCGATCCTGGTCCGGAGACGGGGCTGAGGGCCTGATTTGCTCCACGTTTTGCGGGCAGAGATCATCAGGACTTGGTCTCTTGATTTTTTGTTTTGTTTTATTTTTTTTGGATCACACCCAGCTATGTAGAGGGGTTACTCCTGGCTCTGCACTCAGGAATTACTCCTGGCGGTGCTCGGGGGACCATATGGGATGCCGGGGATTAAACTGGGTCGGCCACATGCAGGGCAAACACCCTACCCACTTTGCTATCTCTCTGGTCGTGGTTTCTTGATTTTTAAGCACAGCAGAGTGAGCAGGGCTGCCACGTGTTCTTCCTCCATGGCGCCAACACTCTCAGAATCTAACCAGGTGCTGGGACTAAACCAGGCCTCCTGCGTTGCAGATCACATGCTCAGAACCCTGAACTCTTTCTCAGGCCCCAGACCCTCTCTCTCTCTCTCTCTCTCTCTCTCCCTCTCTCTGTCTCTCCCTCTCTCTCTGTCTCTCCCACTCTCTCTCACTCTATCTCTTCTACTCTCTCTCCCTGTCTCTCTCTCTCTTTCTCACTCTCTCTGTCTCTCCCACTCTCTCTCACTCTCTGTCTCTCTCTGTCTCTCTCTCCCACTCTCTGACTCTCTCTCTGTCTCTCTTTCAGACCACACCTGGCAGTGCTCTGGGACTGCTTCTGGCTCTGTGCTTCGGGTGCTGCTCTTGGCAGTGCAACCGTATGGTATCCAGTGCCTGGATCTGAGCCAGGATTGAAGCCCATGGAAGTGGGCCTCGGCCAGCAGAGTGTGCACTCTGACCTTTGAGTGTCACTCCGACCCGTCTTAAAGTCTCCGAGGGATTGGAGCTCTGCAGGGCGGGAGAGGAACATGTTAAAAAACAGCTGGAATTCACCCGACTGGCAAGCAGGCAGCAAGGTAGCGTGTCAGAACAACTGCAGCTCAGCTTAGCCTCCAGAACCACGTGCAAACCACACGCGGGCCCACGTGGGACGGGTGCAGCTACACCCGCCGTGTTCCGTCCATGTGGGACGGGCATAGTTACACCCACAGTGTCACATCCACATGGCACAGGCATAGCTACACCCGCCGTGTCCCATCCACGTGGGGCAGGCATAGTCATACCCACTGTGTCCCATCCACGTGGGAGGGGCATAGCTACACCCGCCAGTGTCCCAACACATGTGTGCTGGCATGAGCAGCACCCCGCATGGAACAACCACTGTGTGTAGCCACAATCCCACGTGGACAGATCTGTCCAGGGCCCAGGACAGGGGACACAGACTCACTGCACTAGGAGGGGGACCCAGGAACGGGGGAGAGCAAGCACGGCCCACAGACCACTGATGGACGTCCAGCCACCCGCTGTGAGGCATCAGCTCCTCTCCCTTCTGTAATCTTCCCCCACCCCGTCTGCTTCGGGAGGGGTCTCCTGGGCTGTTCTCTGTCCCCTCTCAGTGTCCAACAAACAGCCCTGGCCTTAAACGCCCTGAACCCCGGCGACACCGCTAGCCTGCGAAGTCTTCCCCGCCTTGCGGGCCCGCCCCGCCTGCCTGCCCAGGTGTGTGGGGGGCGGTGACCGCCCACTCCTGCCCCGGGACGGGACGGGGCGGGCGGGGCGTCCTGTCCTATAAAGGGCGCCGCCCGCGGCTCGCGGCACTGCAGCCGCCCTGCCCGCCGTCCCGGTCCCGCTGTCCCCGCCGCCGTCCGGCCACCATGGGTCGTCAGAGGGAGCTGGTGTCCCGCTGCGGAGAGATGCTGCACATCCGCTACCGCCTGCTGCGCCAGGCGCTGGCCGAGTGCCTGGGGACCCTCATCCTCGTGGTGAGTGAGGGGCGCCCCGACGCGGGGCTCTCCTGCTTGCCCTCACTCCCCACTTCCCCCGCGTTCCCCTCTCCTAGGTCTGACCCCATCCTGCGGGGTGGGGGGGGGGGGTGGCCACATTCCCTGCCACATTCCCCAGCGTTGATGACAGCTCGAGGACAGAGGGACAGCTGTCATGCCTCGGGGACGGCGCTGGTCCCTGACCTTCCCAGACCCAGGCCCCCTCACCCGCAGCGACTGTGCCGTAGGCAGAGGCCCTAGGGGGAGAGAGGACGGTCAGCCTGTGTGTGGCCCCCAACTTCCAGCTCTCCCAGGCCCCGCACCACCCGGCGTTCCTCTCGGGGGGGCCCAGGCAAAGAAACCAAGCATTGATCCGGGGAGCTGGGTCCCCGATGTTGGCTCCCAAAGAATCATTAAGCTTGAGAAAGTCCAAAAGTTCCAGCCTGGGGCGGGCAGTGTGCGCGCGGTGTGTGGTGGGCAGAGGGCAGAGGGCAGAGGCCCCTGGGGTGCCGATGGCAAGATGCAAGGCAAAGGTGGCTGCAGCTGTTTCTGTGCTGCTGGCAGTACCTGCTCCCCACCCGTGGGTGTCTGCCCACAGATGCTGCCAACACAGCTCGGGGCACAAGCTCCGAGTTCCTCGCCAGCCTCCCAGAGTGCCCCCCGGCTTGGGAGAGGAGAGGGATATACTCACAGCGAGCTGCTCCCTGCCCGCTCCAGTTCCACCCGCGGTCGGTCCTGGCCGCCCTGGGTCTCACCCCCCACACCGGTTGTAGGCTGCGTTTCCTGTCCCGGTGACGCTGGTTTCCAGCCTCTCTCTCTGCTTACACCCCATATTCCCGCTGCCGGCTTGCTTCGGTCCTTGGCAGTGGGTGGGTTAACTGTGTCTTTTAACTCTTTTTTTTTTTTGGCTTTGGGGGCCGCACCTGGTGGTGCTCAGGGCTTACTCTGTGCTCAAGGGATCACTCCTGGACGGGCTCCGGGGTGGGGGTGGGGAACCATATGGTATGCTGGGCATCGAATCCTGGTCAGCCACACACACAGGCAAGGTCTTCACCCTCTGGACTGTGTCTCCAGCCCGGGTTACTTTGTCTTGTCCCAGCCCCAGTCCTCCCTGAAGTAGACCAGCCAGCCTCTCTTCCCCCTACCCCCGCCCCCGCCCTCCATTCCCCATGTAACGGCAACTGGAGTGGCTCAACCCAAAAGGGTAGTGGTCAGACCATGGGGGCAGGAGGGCCGACACTCCCCTCCAGAAACAGGACGGGCAGAAACCAGGGAGGGTTCTTGACCCACGGTCCCTCAAAGGGCTAGTGACCTTTCCCTCACCCCCTCACTGCAGCCTTTCTCTCCTCAGGCCAGGAAGGAATAGTGTGTGTGGGTGTATTGCACGCAGGCACACACACACACACACACACACGCACACGCACACGCACACGCACACATACTACTTGTCACTTTCCTGCCTCAACCTTGAGCAGGCTCATGGCTCACCCACAGCAAGCGACAAGGGTCTTCCACATACATCATGGGGTCTCCTACCTCCTCTGGAGTCTCCCTGATCTCTCCACAAAGGAGGATCCCGTCTCCCGCTGAGCCCCGAGGCCTCGGAGGATCATTCTCATCATTCTCGGCTTATTCTAGACCGTGGGAGGGAGCCTCTGGGTGTTGGGTTGGTGGAGGTGTTTGTATCCAGGTGGGGGTGCGGCATCGGGTGTCAGAACACTTCCAGGGCTGCCCTGAGGTGGGGCCCCTTCTGGAAAGCCTCTCCATCCGGGGTCCGGCACCGTGAGGTATACCCGCTTCGGTGGGTGCCAAAGGGGGTGCGGGGTCTCCTGTGGCAGAGGCTGGTGGTGGGGCCAGGGAAGCCCCTTTTTTCTCTGGGGTATCTGGAAAATCTGGAGAAGGAGTGGCGGGGAGGAGGGTGAGGAAGAGGAAGATTAGCTGCAAGGTGGTGGAACTGGCTCTGACAGTTTCTCCCTCCAAGTCCTCCTGGGAGCGTGCCAGGCTGGGCCCCGGGCAGGGCCATGCTGAGGCCAGGACCTGCCAGGCCGGGCAGAGTGCCCCAGACCCCCAGGTGTTTTCCCCTCACCCCCTCCCCCGCCCCAATCTCTGATCTTGGCTCTCACCTGGACGGACACCTTTGCCCTGATCCCTACTGCCACTCATCGCTGGCCTTGCTGAGAGGTAGTAACCAGAATACTCCTCGCCCACCACCGTGAGGGCCGCTGGCCCTTCACTGGCCCTTAGCATGCTGGGGAGTTTGTAAAGTCCTTCGTTAGGGGTGGGGGGGGCAGAGGCCCAAGAAGCTTAAGGGCCGCCTCCAGGAGGCCCAGGACATCAGTCCTGTAGAGCTGGTACAGAAAAACTTTTCACTTGAACCCAGGAAACAGGCCCATGGCGTAGACCTTAGTCCCTGGAGTCAAGTTTAGACCCCGTCTTTGTACTTCACGGGAGTCACGTAGGTCTCAGCATTTAGCGTCTTCTGTCTTTTTTTTTTTTATGGGAGGGGGTGCATACCTAACTGTGCTCAGGGGTATGAATCAGCACCGAGGGGTTGCTCCTGGTGGTACTTGGGGTGCTGGGGATAGAACCGAATCAACCATGTGCAAGGCAAGCGCCCTACCCGCTATACTACCTCACTGGCCCGCCCAGCACCTCCTGTCTGGGTGGGGTGGATGCTAGCGCTCAGGGCACCTGGCGGGTGGAGGGGGCAGAAAAACTCTGGAACCAGGATGCGTCAAGGGAAACGAGGCTGCTGAGAGGGTGTGGGGCAGAGCCAGCGCCTGGATCCCCCAGTTTCCCGAGGGGCAACTTCCACCAAATTTCCTAGTGTAGCCCCCTCCCCACCAACACCCCAACGGCCACCTGGGGGTGAGTGAGAGCCCAGCCGAGGCATCTCTGGGCCCGGAGCAAGGGTGCTGAAAAAGTGTCGCGCGACATCCAGCCTCTGGGCTTCGAGAGACGCCATCACGGTAGTTCTAGCACCTTCTGGGCTCTGAGTTCCTTCTCCTGGAGGCCCTTCTCCAGGGCCCTGTTCAAGAGAGTCGGGACTTGGGGGGTGGGGGCGTGGCGTGGGAGGACCTTGGAGCAGGGTGTATTTCGGTTCCCTTCCAGGGAGGGCCCCACTCTGGGCGGCCTGAGGGGAGCTCTCCCAGCTCTCCCCCCCTTTCCCCTGGCGTGTGCGTGGCTTGGCTCCACAGGGCCTGACGCAGGGGTCTCTCTTGGTCTCTTCTCCCTGTTCAGATGTTCGGCTGTGGCTCCGTGGCCCAGGTCGTGCTCAGCCGGGGCACCCACGGGGGCTTCCTCACCATCAACCTGGCCTTCGGCTTTGCTGTCACGCTGGCCATCCTGGTCTCGGGCCAGGTGTCAGGTAAGGCCTGAGCCCATAACCCCCATGGCTGTGCCCTGGGTAAGAGTCAAGACCCCTGCCTCCTTCCTGCCCCCCCTTCCCCCACGCCTTCCTGCCCAATCTCAGCGAAACCAGTGATGATTCCTGTCGGCCTGTTACACGGTCTGATCGCCACCTTCGGAACCTCCCTCCTTATGCCCAGGGCAGTGTGTGTGTGAGGGGGCACAGGTGCTATGGCTGATCCATCCCACCTCCCCTCTGTTCAGGAGCCCACCTCAACCCAGCCGTGACCTTCGCCATGTGCTTCCTGGCCCGAGAACCGTGGATCAAGCTGCCTGTCTATGCCCTGGCTCAGACACTGGGGGCCTTCCTGGGAGCGGGCATCGTCTTCGGGCTCTACTATGGTGAGTGCGCCCTGCCCTGCTCTCCCTTCCCTGAGCCTCCCCCCTTTCCCATTGGGGAGTTTCTGGCACGGGGCCTTCTGATGACAGACAGCTGGGGCCTGCCCTGGCCTCCGGCTCATGACTCACGTTTACGCAGGGGCCCAGGGTAGAGGGGACCCAGGGGAAGAAACGAGTTGGGCAACCCACAGTCGCAGGCCCTCCGCCCCGCTCCTTCTTGTCACCAGGGCAGTGACTCCACAGACCCAAGAGGCCTGGGTGGGTGAGGGTGGGAACCGAACTCAGGTCTGTGCCCTGACCGACTTCTCATCTGTCACCAGATGCAATCTGGGCCTTTGCCAACAACGAGCTTATCGTCTCGGGTCCCAATGGCACAGCCGGCATCTTTGCCACCTACCCCTCTGGACACTTGGACATGGTCAATGGTTTCTTCGACCAGGTACGGGCCAGGGCTGTGGAATGTGCAGGGCTCAGGGAGGGAGGGTCAAGCTGCTGGGAGGGGGTGTCCCTGGGCTGGTTGTGGGAGGTGACTCCTTGCCTGGAGCAGGGTTTCTCAGAATTGGGGGACACCTATGTCCAAATCATAGAGGCTGGTGTTAAGGAAACATGCCAGTCACAACTTTTGGTGTGTGGGGGGGTCCTTCTCCCCATAAAAATTCTTTTTTTTTTTTTTTTTTGCTTTTTGGGTCACACCCAGTGATGCTCAAGGGTTACTCCTGGTTCTGCACTCAGGAATTACTCCTGGTGGTGCTCGGGAGACCATATGGGATGCTGGGAATCAAACCTGGGTTGGCCGCGTGCAAGGCAAATGCCCTACGCGCTGGGCTATCGCTCCAGCCCCATGCCCATGAAAATTCTAACGCCACAGCACAGCCCAAGCTGGAAGATGGAGGGAAGGGGCTGTAGGTAGAGTTCAGGGGTAGGGTGCTCACCTTGCATATGGCCAACCTTGGTTCCATCTCCGGCACCCCCATGGATGTGGGCTGCCCAAACCCAGCTAGAGGGCAGTCAGAGGTGGGGAAGGAGGGTGGGGGGAGGGCATGCTCTTCACCCCCTTCTCCCCATGTTGCAGTTCATCGGCACAGCCTCCCTCATTGTGTGCGTACTGGCCATCGTAGACCCCTACAACAACCCTGTGCCCCGGGGCCTGGAGGCCTTCACCGTGGGCCTGGTGGTCCTGGTCATCGGCACCTCCATGGGCTTCAACTCTGGCTACGCCGTCAACCCTGCCCGCGACTTCGGCCCTCGCCTCTTCACCGCCATCGCTGGCTGGGGCTCCAAGGTCTTCACGTGAGTGCACCCCCAGCCCCACGGCACACCTGGCCCTGCCATCCCCTCCCCCATCCCCTCGTGACCGCCTGTGTCTGTCCCCCAGGACTGGCCGCCACTGGTGGTGGGTCCCCATCGTCTCTCCGCTGCTGGGCTCCATTGCCGGCGTCTTTGTGTACCAGCTCATGATCGGCTGCCACCTGGAGCCGCCGCCCCCCTCGGCTGAGGAGGAGAATGTGAAGCTGGCCCATGTGAAACACAAGGAATAGAGCGCACCCCCCCCCCCCACCTCTACGGCTCCCCTCTCCCTGCCCCTCCCCGCCACGCCCCTCTCGCATACACTGACTCTGCAGGGGCTGCTCCCTGAAGTCCCCTTCATGGTTCCCCTCCTGGGCTAGGAAGCCCTGCTTTGCTGGACAGTCCCCTTCTGGACCCTGCCCTAAGCCCTGGGTGGTGGGGTGAGAGGGGGACGGGACACGGTGGGATCAAAACAGGCGGCAGGTTTATGTGTGAGAGGAGGAAATTTGTGGATTTGCAGCTGTTCAGGACAAAGGACAGAGTGGACAGGATTGAGTGGCGGCTTTTGGCGTGGTGGGGAGGGGTGGGAGGCCTCCCAGAGGAAGGAAAGAGGGGAGTTGCCTGTATGTGAGAGAGAAAGAGGCCCCAGGAGGAGGAGGAGGAGGAGGCGGCGGCTGGGGTGGGGTACTGAGGTGTGCTGCTCTGTTTTCTAAGCTTTGAGGGAGGTGGGGTGGGAGGGCTGGGGAGGGCTGCGAGGGCCACCACCCAGCCTGGCTCTCGGTGGCCACCCCTAAATAAGAGCCGGGTTATGTTTCTAGCTCAAGGTAGGTATGAGGGGCTGGAGTCGAGTCTAGGTCATAAGTTTCATGTTTGCTCTTCTTTTTTTTTTTAAAAAACAAAACAAAACAAAAACATATATATATATATATGTATATGTATAGCAGATGTCACAGTCGTAGGCGCAGAGGTTTGGAAACTGCTTCCAGAAGGGTTTCACTCCTCTTAACGTTCACTCAGTATATGTACCTTTTGCCTTTTATATATATATATAAAAAACAACAACAATAAAACATATGCCTCAAACATCGTCTTGCGCATGTCTTTTGGCTGGCACTGCTGTTTTCCTGGGTTTGGTCAGATATTCAGGGAAACGACCCCGAAAGAGAGCTCAAGGGGCCGAGGTCTGACCCCCCGATACCTTGTTGTCCATACCTCCCACCCCGTCAAACTGGGAGTGGCCCCAAAACCAACCCAAAGGAAAAGAAACCCCCAGTCCCTAGAGTGTCCAGCTGGAGCTCTGACAAGTCCAGAGCACGGGGTATGTGGTGATGGTGGTGGGAATACCCCAGGGAGCCAGGGGAATAGGTCAGTTCCACAGGGAGGTCAGAGATCTCTGTCTCCAGCTCAGCCTCTCCCTGTCCTTGCCTCTAGCAAGGAAAGAACATTCCAACAGAGGAGGCTTGTGGTCTAAGGAGGAGTGAGTTCCCCAGAGCAGGAGGTGTTTTATTCCAACACTCAGTGGTCTCCCCACCTGCCTGCTCCCTACGGTCCTCACAGAGACCAGAGGGGTCTTGTTTTCCTTGGGGGCTGCACCCACCTGGCTCTGTGCTCTGAGGCCAGCCTCATCAGTGCTGCTGGGGAGTGGCCGTTTGGAGCTGGGACTTGGACCCGGGGTTCCCACATGCAGTGTGTGCTCAGCAATCTCTCGAGAAACCTCCTTTTATTTTTTTCTTTTTGTTTTTGGGCCCCTCCCAGCTGTGCCCAGGGATCACTCCTGGAGGCGGGCTCAGGGGACCAGATGGGGTGCCCGGGGATCAAATCCAGGTCAGCCTTCTGCAAGGCAACGGCCTCGCCCTCTGCCCCTCTGCTATCAGCCCCAGCCCCAGAGGGCTCCTTTTGAAAGCCCTGATGCAAGCAGAACTCACTCTTAGTTTCTCCCTGCTGGCCCGGGGCCATCCCAGACCTTGGTTCCTTATTCTACTGCTCCAGGGTCAGGGGCTTCCCCTGTTCACTCACAATGCTCCGTCAGGGGTCACTTTGGGTGTTCCTGTGCTTTCCCATCCCTGCACCTTTGCTCCAAGGTCCTCCCACTCACATCTCTGTTCATTTTTTTGTTGTTGTTTTGGTTTTTGGGTCATACCCAGCGATGCTCAGGGGTTACTTCTGGCTCTGCACTCAGGAATCACTCCTGGCGGTGCTGGGGGGGCCATATGGGATGCCAGGGATTGAACCCCGGTCTGCCGCATGCAAGGCAAATGCCTTCCCCACTGTGCTAGTGGAAGGCATCCTCCTGGAAGTCATCCCTGCTCTTTCCTACCCTACTTAACCTTACAGAGGGGCCCTGATCCTGCCTTCCCCTCTGCTAGGCTTCCTCCGTCTAGGGTATTTACGGAGGCTGGGGGGTTGGGCTGCTCAGGGAAGCCAGGGGCCCCAGCACACCTGAGCCCAGACTCTAAGTCAGGGAAATCACGTGCCTCTTCTCACCTTCTCCTTTCTTCAGGGTCCTCCTCAAGTTTCACTTGAGGCTTAAAGGGAAGGTGGCCCCCATCTCCCGCAGACTTAACTCCTTAGGATCCTCCGTGTGCAAGGGCCAAGCCCAGCTCTCGCTCAGCAGCATGTGACAGAGGAGAAGGAGGAGAAGACTGTGGCTCAGAGAGGGTGGGTGGTGAGTGCAGGGTCACACAGCCAAGTGAAGGGGGGGAGAGAGAGAGAGAGAGAAAGGAGGGAGAAGGCAGTTTCAGCTCAGGTTTTTACACATTACCACCCCAAAGTCCCCAGCTCCCAAGAGGTGTGTCTGGAATGTTGGAGGGACTTAAAGCAAAGGGAGCGGCTCCTTCCCAGGCCTGGGGGTGGGGGGGGGGCGGCCCCACCAGCGAGCGAGGGGGGGGGCAGGAGGCAGCTCTTGGGAAGGGAATGCCACCGTGAGTTTCATTCCAGCCACACCAGTCCCTGCCTGAACCCCGATTCCCCCACCCCCCTCCCGTACCCCTAACCCCCTTAAACCTCCATGTCTTCATTGTTCCTTCCTTCCTCTTGGGTGGACCAGCCATCCTGGACATGGGGGATGGGGTGGGGGCACGATGCAGTGATTCACCCCTCGCTGGAGCTGGATCCTGGGCCCTGTCCAACTTCTCTCGAGGGGCAGGAGCTTGGGGTGTCGTTTTCCTGTGCTGCCCTCCCGTTTCCTCATCTATGACCTCGGGAAGGATGAGGAGACCGGAGAAGAACTTAGCAATGACACACAGGCAGGACTGACTGCAGAGGCCACATGCTGAGGGTGGGGATGGGTGACAGCTGGAGGCTGTTGTTTCTTTCCTTTTTTTTTTAAATGTATGTGTGTGTGTGTGTGTGTGTGTGTGTGTGTGTGTGTGTTTTGGGGGTGTGGGGGGCACACTGGTGGTGCTCAGGAGTAACTCCTGGCTCTGTGCTGAGAAATTACTCCAGGTAGGCTCAGGTGGGGGACCATTTGGGAAAGCAAGGATCAAACCCAGGGCCAGCGCGCTCTGCCCGCTGTTTTATCACGCTGACCCCTGGCCTCTGAAGGCTGCTTCTTAAAGGTCATTAGATCCAACCCCCTCTTCTGCCTGGATTCCTTCCTAGAATTTTCGGTTTCCTGAGGGTGTGTGTATGTGTTGCGGGGTGGGCGGGGTGGGCGGTGTCTGGCCTGGATGATTTGCTGTGCCTGGGGGAGGGGCAGATGGAGACCCCAGTCACAGAGCAAAGGGACTGCAGGGCAGGCAGCCCGTTTGCCCACTGGCTCTCGAGAGTCCTGTGTGCTTCCAAGGGAACACCGCGTACGCCCTGGGCCCAGTGAGCAGAGTGGAGCTTGTCCACACCTTCTCCTTAATTCCCAGTAACCAGGTAACCAGCTTCCTCCTCTCTTCTACCCTGATTTTGTTTGTCTGAAAACCTGGGTGGGGCCCCCCGAGGCTTGGGGAAACTTGGATGAGGTAGTGTGGGGTGGGGTGGGAAGGGGAGAGGACTGCTGTCTTCCACCACACTTGCAGACCCCAGAGGTCAGAGATGGCCCTACGGGGAAGGTGGGGCCTGGGAGGGGCCTGGGTGGGGCAGGGGAATGGGTGGGGGGGACATGCCCCATGGGGGCAGGGCTGGCTGGCAAGGCTGAATGGGGTGCGGTTGCTGAGCCACTGGGGGCCCTTCTTAGAGGCGTCATGCTCAGGGTCTCCGTCTTCAGGCTGACGTGAGGTAAAGGCGTGGGCTGGTCCTGGAGTGCCACCCCTCGTCTTTATGGGATGGGGAAACTGAGGCACAGTCTCAGTCAGGGTCGCCGCAGCAGGGCAGCTGTGCCTGGAGTCGAGCTTCGTCCTGTGTTCCCCATCCCACTTGCCCTCTGCTCTCAGCCAGCCGTACCACAGCTCCAGGAGCCTGGCTCTGGTGGGAAACACACCGGGTTCCACACGGGTCTCTCCGCCCAGGGCCAGGGCATGTGTGTGTGTGTGTGTGTGTGTGTGTGTGTGTATCCCTTTGCCCCACATCTCTGGCCTGCTCTGGGCCCCGGGAGCAGATCCCAAAGGGCTGCTTCCTTGGAAACCCCCCACTGGGCTGGGGGAATGGCAGGCTGAGCTGGGAACCCAGGGCTGGGGCAGGGTCTGCCTTTGTGGGGATTACACGGTCCTCTGTCCTCTGTCCCACCCCCCATCCCCCCATCTCCCGGGGCCATTCCTGTGGGTCCTGGGACCCCTTATGCCTGTGTCTATCTAAAACTTCCCCCTTCTGCCTTGTCTTCCTTGAGGTCCTCAGAGACTGCCCTACCCCTCCCGGTGGCTGGGGTGGGGGAGGGGGAGGGCGAACACTTCCCTGGGGTCCTCAGTTTCTCCCTCTGTGAAGTGGGCTGGGAGGGTCAGGCCTGCCTGGTTGGGTCAGTCAAGGACTAAATGATTTAACCCCGAGAGCACCCTGAGCACAGACAGGACGGAGGTTTGAGGCTCAGGGGTCTCATCCTGCTACTTTGGGAGCAACTGATTGGAAGAAAGTGGAGACAGGTGACTCATCTCTTTGGGGGACTCTATCCAGTGGTGCTACTTATGTCTCACTCCTGGCTCTGTGCTCAGGGATCACTGCTGATGGGGCCGCGGGGAGCCCTATGGGGTTGTGGGGATCAAACCCGGGTTGGCCATGTGCAAGGCAAATGCCCTACTGGCTATATTCTCGCTCTGGCCCTGGAACCAAGTCCTTAGTGGACGGTCACCTCGGTCAGGCTGCAGGAGCTTGATGGTTGCGGGGGAGGGTG